GTTCTGTACCTGAACTGTCCTGTACCTGTTCTGTCCTGTACCTGTTCTGTCCTGTACCTGAACTGTCCTGTACCTGTTCTGTCCTGTACCTGAACTGTCCTGTACCTGAACTGTCCTGTACCTGTTCTGTCCTGTACCTGTTCTGTACCTGAACTGTCCTGTACCTGTCCTGTCCTGTACCTGTTCTGTCCTGTACCTGAACTGTCCTGTACCTGTTCTGTCCTGTACCTGTCCTGTACCTGTTCTGTCCTGTACCTGAACTGTCCTGTACCTGTTCTGTCCTGTACCTGTTCTGTACCTGAACTGTCCTGTACCTGTTCTATCCTGTCCTGTACCTGTTCTGTACCTGTACCTGAACTGTCCTGTACCTGTTCTGTCCTGTACCTGTTCTGTCCTGTACCTGAACTGTCCTGTACCTGTTCTGTACCTGAACTGTCCTGAACCTGTTCTGTCCTGTACCTGTTCTGTCCTGTACCTGTTCTGTACCTGTTCTGTACCTGAACTGTCCTGTACCTGTTCTGTACCTGAACTGTCCTGTACCTGAACTGTCCTGTACCTGTTCTGTACCTGTACCTGTTCTGTCCTGTACCTGTTCTGTACCTGTACCTGAACTGTCCTGTACCTGTCCTGTACCTGTACTGTCCTGTACCTGTTCTGTCCTGTACCTGAACTGTCCTGTACCTGTTCTGTCCTGTACCTGTTCTGTACCTGAACTGTCCTGTACCTGTTCTGTACCTGTTCTGTACCTATACTGTCCTGTACCTGTTCTGTACCTGTACCTGTTCTGTCCTGTACCTGAACTGTCCTGTACCTGTTCTGTCCTGTACCTGTTCTGTCCTGTACCTGTTCTGTCCTGTCCCTGTTCTGTACCTGTACCTGTTCTGTACCTGAACTGTCCTGTACCTGTACCTGAACTGTCCTGTACCTGAACTGTCCTGTACCTGTTCTGTCCTGTACCTGTACTGTCCTGTACCTGAACTGTCCTGTACCTGTTCTGTCCTGTACCTGTACTGTCCTGTACCTGTTCTGTCCTGTACCTGTACCTGAACTGTCCTGTACCTGAACTGTCCTGTACCTGTACTGTCCTGTACCTGTTCTGTACCTGTTCTGTACCTATACTGTCCTGTACCTGTTCTGTACCTGTACCTGTTCTGTCCTGTACCTGTTCTGTACCTGTACCTGTTCTGTCCTGTACCTGTTCTGTACCTGTACCTGAACTGTCCTGTACCTGTCCTGTACCTGTACTGTCCTGTACCTGTTCTGTCCTGTACCTGAACTGTCCTGTACCTGTTCTGTCCTGTACCTGTTCTGTACCTGTACCTGAACTGTCCTGTACCTGTTCTGTACCTGTTCTGTACCTATACTGTCCTGTACCTGTTCTGTACCTGTACCTGTTCTGTCCTGTACCTGTTCTGTACCTGTACCTGAACTGTCCTGTACCTGTCCTGTACCTGTTCTGTCCTGTACCTGAACTGTCCTGTACCTGTTCTGTCCTGTACCTGTACCTGAACTGTCCTGTACCTGTTCTGTACCTATACTGTCCTGTACCTGTTCTGTACCTGTACCTGTTCTGTCCTGTACCTGAACTGTCCTGTACCTGTTCTGTCCTGTACCTGTTCTGTCCTGTACCTGTTCTGTCCTGTACCTGTTCTGTACCTGTACCTGTTCTGTACCTGAACTGTCCTGTACCTGAACTGTCCTGTACCTGTTCTGTCCTGTACTGTACCTGTTCTGTACCTGTACCTGTTCTGTACCTGAACTGTCCTGTACCTGTTCTGTACCTGTTCTGTCCTGTACCTGAACTGTCCTGTACCTGTTCTGTCCTGTACCTGTACTGTCCTGTACCTGTTCTGTCCTGTACCTGTACCTGAACTGTCCTGTACCTGAACTGTCCTGTACCTGTTCTGTTCTGTACCTGAACTGTCCTGTCCTGTACCTGAACTGTCCTGTACCTGTTCTGTCCTGTACCTGTTCTGTCCTGTACCTGAACTGTCCTGTACCTGAACTGTCCTGTACCTGAACTGTCCTGTACCTGTTCTGTTCTGTACCTGAACTGTCCTGTACCTGTACCGTCCTGTACCTGTTCTGTTCTGTACCTGAACTGTCCTGTCCTGTACCTGAACTGTCCTGTACCTGTTCTGTCCTGTACCTGTCCTGTACCTGAACTGTCCTGTACCTGAACTGTCCTGTACCTGAACTGTCCTGTACCTGTTCTGTACCTGAACTGTCCTGTCCTGTACCTGAACTGTCCTGTACCTGTTCTGTCCTGTACCTGTCCTGTACCTGAACTGTCCTGTACCTGTTCTGTCCTGTACCTGAACTGTCCTGTACCTGAACTGTCCTGTCCTGTAATCGTTTGACAGCCCAGATTCTAAAACCTGCTCATTTAGAGACTTCTGTTTGAGAATAGACAATAAAGGTAAATATTATTAATGTGAGAAATAACATGAACAGAAACTTAATATTAAAATAAATATATTATTAATGTGAGAAATAACATGAACAGAAACTTAATATTAAAATAAATAAATAATTAATGTGAGAAATAACATGAACAGAAACTTAATATTAAAATAAATAAATATTATTAATGTGAGAAATAACATGAACAGAAACTTAATATTAAAATAAATAAATAATTAATGTGATCTGAACTTACAGCCAGTCTCCTTCTTTATTTCTTCAATCTCTTCTTCTCGGAGTAACGTGGACGCTCTGGAGCCCATGGTGAACAGGTAAGTCTGGTGAACAGGTAAGTCTGGTGAACAGGTAAGTCTGGTGAACAGGTAAGTCTGGTGAACAGGTAAGTCTGGTGAACAGGTAAGTTTAATGAACAGGTAAGTCTGGTGAACAGGTAAGTCTGGTGAACAGGTAAGTCTGGTGAACAGGTAAGTTTAATGAACAGGTAAGTCTGGTGAACAGGTAAGTCTGGTGAACAGGTAAGTTTAATGAACAGCTAAGTCTGGTGAACAGGTAAGTCTGGTGAACAGGTAAGTCTGGTGAACAGGTAAGTCTGGTGAACAGGTAAGGTAGGTGGTGAACAGGTAAGTTTAATGAACAGGTAAGTCTGGTGAACAGGTAAGTCTGGTGAACAGGTAAGTCTGGTGAACAGGTAAGTCTGGTGAACAGGTAAGTCTGGTGAACAGGTAAGTCTGGTGAACCAGCAGCGCCGTTATCCGTCTCGCGCAGCCCGAACCAGCCGAGTTAGCAAACAAGCTAACGCAGCGAGCTAACTCGTTCTCGTCGTTTTACGGTGAAAGTCGTTTCGAGTTCAATCCAAACGGTTGTTTTGAGTCCTCGTGTCGTCGTAGCTCTCCGGTTCTTAACAAATCCTTCCCGTGTTCGGTCCAGATTTCATGTTAACGTGACTGAGTTTCGGTCAGGTTAGCTTCCTTCTTTAAGAGGAGGCAGGTACTGAACGAAGTCGCCTCCCTAGTAGGCGGGTCCTCACAGAAGAGGGTAGCGAGGTTTGTTGCCTGGTTAAAATTCGATGTCAGTGTGTCGTATAAATACATTTTAATATTTAAATATATACAATGTCATTTGTTATGTAAAACCAAGAAAACTGACTCGAAATCACTTAACAAAAGAAAGCTACTGAACGTAGTTTACTGTTAATTTATTCCCTGTAGTTATGCTATGAGAAATCTGCGGAGTGGTGGGGGGGGGATCATCCTGTCAGGGGGACCAACTAACCCGTGACACCCGGTCAGACGGTGAGATCAAATTATGTTGAAATTATAGAAAAATAAAGGCAATAAAAACATGAATATCAAATCTTTAGAGGATACTAACGAAATTAACAATTAAATATAATATTAAGACGTCTATCTTAATGCTCTGATACAATTCGTATCTATGTTTTCCTTCAAAATAATCAAATGAATTCACAAATGTATCCTTAAAAAAAATCCATATCTACAATGTAAAAGATTATTTTAAAATAACTGTATGGAGGTAAAACACCCCTTCCTGTTTCTAAAGCTTTTCGTGCTCTTAAAAGTAATATGCAGGTAAATTTAAAATGTTCTACTTGTTTTATAAATTGGTCCACACTTCTTCCTGCACCACCTGCTGGACAGACAGCGGAGCACCTTCTCCACCAGGCCGGTTCAGCTCTGCTGTCACCAGGACAGACACATGAAATCTGTCTTTTACATACCTGTTCTGCTCCTGTAAAGTTAGCACATTATCCTTCAACATTAAATGTTCACTTGATAAGTGTATCTGCTCATTAGAAGATCTGTGCGCACAGCTCGATTCCGCTATAATGTTGTTATTATTACGTTACACGTAGGACAGACATACGCCACTAGATGTCGCACTTTCATTATTTATTGTGGGCTGATATGATTTTGCATAGATAAAAATGTTGATACAGCTTGCTCAGGTTTTCTGGATAACAACCATCAGTAGCTCAGTCTGGAGGGACTGGAGGGACTGGAGGGACTGGAGGGACTGGAGGGACTGGAGGGTCTGGAGGGTCGTCGGTTCTGTGGACCGAGTCTTGAGATTGCACTGGTAGCTGGAAAGGTGCCAGTTCTCTTCCTGAGCACTGCCAAGGTGGCAAGGCCCCAACTTACATTTGAAACTGAGCATGGTGCATTACATTTAACATTAATCCCTGAGGGGACATTCTGGCTTCTCACACACATAAACCCGAAATACACACATGCACTAACAGGACCTGTGGACATGAGTGGAGAGATGGCAAAGTAGGAGGCCTTGCTCATGACTTCCTAAGCAGTACTCAAAAATTCACCTGGCACCCGACCTACTTCATACCTTGGACCATTACGGGACTCAAACCAGCAACCCTCCAGTTCACAACCCAAGTCCCTACAGCAGTGGTTACCACCCTTAATTATCTCATGATCCCACTTGGACTTCACCAAACTCTGACGACCCCACACATCCAAAACCTAACCCCATCACCTTTATAAGGAGAAAAACAGCTCCAGTTAAATCTGCACACCAGATCAAAAAAGCAATACGAGTCATTTTCAGAGTTTTGGTTGATTTATTTAGGATTTTAAGATCCCTGTTACTACATGTCTTGAGGTTTCAGAAAACATTCTCTGTTCAGTAGTTTGTCCTTCACATGTGCATGAAACACGTAAAGCTGAGAGCAAACCAAATGTTCAACAGTCCATGCAATCATTGTGTCCTCAAAACAATCAGAAGCAGTTAAATATCCAACAATCTTCACAGCAAGAGTGCATCTCATCATAAAACAAGTTTAAAATTCTCAAGTAAAAAAAAAAAAAAAAAAGTGTTAGTGTGTTGATAAAATAATGATACGGTCAACTCCATGTCAGATTGATTCCTAAGCAGTGCAAAGAGAAGCTGGTCGTCTTCTGGGCCTTCCACGCAGGAAGACGTTTGGTTTGAGATTTTTCATTGGTTTGCAGAAAGTCCTTTACTCTCTGAAGTGACACGTGGCGTCCATGGCCGTCTGGATGCTGCGCGGGGAAAACACGATGAAGAATGTATGAGGTATCAGACAACAACGATAAAAAACATTATCAAAGATTAATGAAGCGAACATGAAATCTTCAATAACCAACATTAAAACATATTCAGTTTAAAGGAGCAGTATGTAACTCTGACCCCTAGTGTTTAAAATGGGTACTGCAGTCTAAATTCTAAACATCATAGAGATCTGTCCCCCCCCTCTCTAGACTCGATGCTCACTCAGGTCACCATGTGGTGGACTCTGAAGCTTCAGTGTTTATCCAGCTCTGCATGGGTCTGTAAACCTTTCTGTGTTCTAACCTCTCTCCATTTTTCAAAAGCATCTCCAATATTGATCCTAGTTTGAGCACGTTTCTGCTCGTGGAGCTTATTAGAAACATGCAGAGGCTTTTTAGGTCGGGTACAATCACTTCTATCTGAACCACTTCTCTTGACCGCTTCCATCGCTGCAACACCTGTTGACCTGATAACTGCTCTCATATCTGACAAACCGAGGGGCGTCCAAAACGGCCATGTGGGGGCGTGTCTTAAAAGCGCCTACCTTCTCTGGTCCAAACAAATCCAGAGCATTCAGGAGCAGAATCTAAAGTTAGAAGGAGGACATACTGGCTGCTGCATTGTTGTCAGAGAAGCCAGCACTTCAACATAGCATGTTTCCTTAATGATCAGAGAGTAAGATACCTTTATCATTTACCTCTTTAAGAGGAACGATGGAGCCTTTATTGGGGACTATTTTCAGCTGCGTATTTATACCTGCTGTGAGTTTGGGCGACTGAGTCAAAATGAGCTACAGAAAGTTGTTTAGCCTAATGTGGATTAAATATAACAAGTGAAATCTATTGAATAATAAAGAGGAAACCACACGGAGGTGACGTCTCACATCCTGTTATTAACTAAGAGTGATCACACAGACAGGCAGACAGACAGACAGGTAGGTGTGGAGCAGTGAGCAGACGTACCTGTCTGCAGAGTATCCTCTCTCACACAGGTTGACCAGAGCTACAGATGTCTCAGAGCGTACTCGTACTGAAACACAAAGAGGACAGAAACATGAGTCACACGTGTTCCACAGTCTGTCACTGTAAATGTCAACAACCCTGTTTATTTCCTCTGGGCTGTTTGGGGGATTTTCAAAATGTCAAACAGCTGATCAAAGTACCGGGGAAATATTTAACAAGTCTTCACTGGTATTAGAAGATAAAAACCCCATCTGAATATAACTTAATGCTTTCATTTAAACACATGTTCTCGTTCAGAGTGCAGGAAACCACCACCTTTCTGAGGTTTAGTACGGCCATCCAACATCCTAACATTATGTCTGTATTTAAAGACGGATCAAACACAACTGATCTCCTCTGGGGCGGCTGAGCCTCAGTGGTAGAGTTGGTCGTCTCTCAACTGGGAGGTCAGGGGTTCAATCCCCAGCTCCTGCAGCCACATGTCTGATGTGTCCTTGGCAAGACACTTAACCCCAAGTTGCTCCCACTGCTTCATCATCAGTGTCTGAATTGTGTATGAATGGATGAGTTAATACTGAT